ATTGAAAAATCTCGGAACTACTTTGCAGGTAAGACGAATAAAGACAGGTAAGATGAACGAAGGATGGGACCACCGGGATAGTATTAAATACAACACGCATCTTGACAGAAGAAAAGCAATAAATCTTACACGCTGATACCCTGCAGCAAGTGTCTCACTCCCTAACTAACCATGGTAGTTTTAAATAAACGGGACATAAATCAAGCCCCAAAATCACAGGTACCTTAAAACGGTTAACCTTACCTCACACTGTACGTTTAGAAACTTTCTCCGGGTCACTATTATGCCGAAAAATATGGTAAATATTCCTCAATTTTTCTTCCAACCTACAAGGTGAACATATCATCAAAGTACAGCGGACCAAGTTAGAAATGAAATTAATCTAACGGGACTTTTGGTCAAAAGAATTCCAGTTGGTTGGCCTATAATATATGATGCTAATAAACCCTCCCACTTCCCGGTCAACCAGCACATCCAAAATGGCTAACGAGGCATCACACTCCACTTCCATAGTAAACCGAAAAGACAAATGGAGGGACTTAAGCATAGAATGAAAATCCCCCGTCTCTTCGAAAGAAGTGAGCGCGGAAAAGTGTCCTCCACATAAGGTCGGTTTATACACAGTCTATTGCTGTTTAAAATAAATGATGGCCTTAAAAACCCACACAGATATTAGCCAAAACAGGGCCCAGTGGGCTACCCATCGATATGACATCATCCTGCGCGTACATAATATTGTTAAAACTAAATTCACCCTCTCAGTGAATAAAGTATCTCAACGTCTGCGTACGTATGTTTTAATTAAGGTCCCTGAGAAGAGTATTCACTTTAGACCTATTTTTCCATGATAGGCTCGGTGCTCCATGAACTGGCAAAATGGTTGTTACAAAGAATCTCTCTGAAGTAGTGTTGGACAAAAAATGCCCCATTAAAAGAATACGTTCCGTAATTTTCAAAGCCATATTTAAATTCTGTGGTTCTAATTTTTTGTTTAAATATGTATGTGTATGCGTTTGTGCGCGCGCGTGTGTGGGTGTAGTTATGTATATATATTTATGGCTAGTAAATATCTACCTATGTTCTTTTTATTATATAAAACTTGATGAAAAAAATGTATTTCCTCTATATTTATTGTTTTTCTATTTAGTTTACATAATATTTTTTCGGACATCACACCATTTTCAGTTGTTCCTACATCCTTCGTCAGTGTTTGGTATTAAATGGCGTTTTTTAACCTGAACTCAATTTGAAATTCAGCAGACGTTAATCATCTCAGTGCAAAAATTACCAGTTTCTTTAGTCGTGCCAACTGATAAAGCTTTTTAGAGGCTTTGCCCCATACGTTAACCCGACTCTTTTCTGTCATCACTGTCTGAGATTCCACGAACTATAAGGTGGTGAAGCTGATTAAAAAAAAAAACAACTTTACCATGTCGTCTTATTAGCGTGTTAGTAAAAGTGTATATGAGACATAGATAGATAGATAGATAGATAGATAGATAGATAGATAGATAGATAGATAGATAGATAGGAAAAGAAGAAAATATCTACATAGATATGGACATACTAAAAGACTTTATTAGTTAGATAGATAGATAGATAGATAGATAGATAGATAGATAGATAGATAGATAGAAAAAGATATCTACACATATATGGATATACTAAAAGAGATAGATAGATAGATAGATAGATAGATAGATAGATAGATAGATAGATAGATAGATAGGATAGGAAAAGAAGAAAATATCTACATAGATATGGACATACTAAAAGACTTTATTAGATAGATAGATAGATAGATAGATAGATAGATAGATAGATAGATAGATAGATAGACATATATGGACATACTAAAAGAGATAGATAGATAGATAGATAGATAGGAACAGGAGATATATACATAGATATGGACATACGGAAAGACTTTATTAGATAGATAGATAGATAGATAGATAGATAGATAGATAGATAGATAGATAGATAGATGCATGACTTATCTCGTTCGAAGTTTGGGTAATCCATTATATATATATATATATATATATATATATATATATATAGAGAGAGAGAAAGGGGGGAGAGGCGAGGTAGGGGATACCATAAAAGATGGAGAGATAGATAGAAAGAGATAAAATGCCAAACAGAGAGAAGACAGAGAAAGAAAGGCATGTTGGTGACTCAGAAACTCATCAAAAGCTTAAAAAACATTCCCTGACCGTTCTATGTGATATTTTTTTCACAATGAAATAGTGTTAAGTGCGCTATGTATACTTCAAACAGCCTCCAGAATGTTTTTTTTTTCTTCTTCTCCGAGTCCTGTAAGCTTAGGACGGAGCGATTATGACTCACCATAAGCGTCTGTCTTTTTGTTGCTCTTAGCAACCTTTTGTCATAGTTAGGTTATCCGGTGCATTACTATGTCTCTTTTGTCTTTAATATGTCCTGTGATTGTCAAATTCTCCAAGACCTCTTTCCTCATTAAAGATGTCAAGTATCT